GACAGCCTTAGACAAGATGACATTGACAGCTTTTAGACAAGATGACATTTGACAGCTTTTATTACTTCATGTGGGTGTTTGGCTGATGTCACTTACTGATGTCACTTACTGATGTAATCGCTACAGAAAAAATCGAATGGATTTTGTTTTCCATGAATCGACTTACCGGAAGTCCAGATGTGTAACAGACATGCGCATTAGCAGTCAACATTTCAGATAAGGCAGAAATAATTAGGAGATGGGATGTGGGGGCTGGTCTGATGAATTAATGGGAGTCACGTGGTACAGGGTGAATGGAGTGGCTCATGGAGGACAGGCACAGTGTCATGTGAGATAATACATGTGGGGTGGGGTGAGGGTGGGGTGAGGGTAGGGGGTGATAGGGGTGAGTCCGGGTGAGGGTGAGGGTGGGGGTAGGGGTGAGGGTAGGGGTGGGTGTAGGGGTGAGGGTAGGGGGTGATAGTAGGGGTGTCCGGGGTGAGGGTAGGGGTGAGGGTAGGGGTGGGTGTAGGGGTGAGGGTAGGGGGTGGGGGTAGGGGTCAGGGTAGGGGTGGGGGTAGGGGTATGGGTGAGGGTAGGGGTGGGGGTAGGGGTGTCCGGGTGAGGGTAGGGGGTGGGGGTAGGGGTATGGGTGAGGGTAGGGGTGGGGGTAGGGGTGTCCGGGTGAGGGTAGGGGTGGGTGTAGGGGTATGGGTGAGGGTAGGGGTGAGGGTAGGGGTGGGGTAGGGGTGTAGGGGTGAGGGTAGGCGTGATGTGAGGTGAGGGTAAGTGTGAGGGTAGGGGTGGGGGTAAGGGAGAGGGTAGGGGTGAGGGTAGGGATGGGGGTTGGGGTGGGGATAGGGGTGAGGGTAGGGGTGAGGTTAGGGGGGTGATAGTAGGGGTGTCCGGGTGAGGGTAGGGGTGGGTGTAGGGGTGGGTGTAGGGGTGGGTGTAGGGGTGAGGGTAGGGGGGTGATAGTAGGGGTGTCCGGGTGAGGGTAGGGGGTGGGTGTAGGGGTATGGGTGAGGGTAGGGGGTGGGGGTAGGGGTATGGGTGAGGGTAGGGGTGGGGGGTAGGGGTGTCCGGGTGAGGGTAGGGGGTTGGGGTGGGGATAGGGGTGAGGGTAGGGGTGAGGTTAGGGGGTGATAGTGGGGGTGTCCGGGTGAGGGTAGGGGTGAGGGTGATGAGAATGACAACTGATGCTGGCAAGTTTTTGACCCGACAAATTTTTTGACGTGTCTAGACCAAATCTGACCCCAGTGGGGAGGGGGGGGGAGATGGGGGGGAGATGGGGGGGGGGGGGGGGGATCTGACCCCGGTATCTAATGGCAGTACCCGGGGGGGGGGGGGGGGAAGGGGCTTAAGTTGCGTGTTTATGTTGCTTGGCAGATGATCGACAAATATGACTTGTTTATGACGTTGCTAACTGCGCCAACACCTCAGACCACATGACCTTGTTCTTCAAGGTCAGCCCTGATAGGTTAGTTCATCAAATGTCATGATGTCATGTTTACACATGTCACCATTTTTCTATTTGCGCATTTTCCGTGTGCGCATATTTTCGTTGCGCAGGTTTTTGTTGCGCAGGTTTTTGTTGCGCAGGTTTTTGTTGCGCAGGTTTTTTGTTGCGCAGGTTTTTGTTGCGCAGGTTTTTGTTGCGCAGGTTTTTTGTTGCGCAGGTTTTTTGTGCCTAATTATTGGTGGCACAATTAGTGGTTAATTCTATATTTCTGGGAACCATGTGTGTTACTTTCCATGCCATTGGTGTTACAGTTGGTGGGAAGGTTATTTCCCTGAGGCTTCAGACCCCACCCACGAAATGAATGATTTAGTTCCAGTTAGTCCCTGACGATCGATTGGTTTCCACTCAATCAAATCGCTGAAGCGTGACTGAGTCCCTTCATCATTGTTGCCACGGTAAACAAAATCTCAGATGACGACTCTGGTCAAACAATCGGAGATTTCATATAACGCTGTCATGTGTCAGCTGTCTGTGACATACTGTCAGTATCGGCCAAATTATGACATTTGTTATTTTATGAGATAAGGATATTAAAATATCAAATTCTGAAGTGTTTTTTTTGGTAAATAGAATCCAATTTTTGAGTCTGTATGTTGTGAGTGGACAGGCCAGGTACTCACGTGTTGAGTGGACAGACCAGGTACTCACGTGTTGAGTCTGTATGTTGTGAGTGGACAGGCCAGGTACTCACGTGTTGAGTGGACAGGCCAGGTACTCACGTGTTGAGTGGACAGGCCAGGTACTCACGTGTTGAGTGGACAGGCCAGGTACTCAGGTGTTGAGTGGACAGGCCAGGTACTCACGTGTTGAGTGGACAGGCCAGGTACTCACGTGTTGAGTGGACAGGCCAGGTACTCACGTGTTGAGTCTGTATGTTGTGAGTGGACAGGCCAGGTACTCACGTGTTGAGTGGACAGGCCAGGTACTCACGTGTTGAGTGGACAGGCCAGGTACTCACGTGTTGAGTGGACAGGCCAGGTACTCACGTGTTGAGTCTGTATGTTGTGAGTGGACAGGCCAGGTACTCACGTGTTGAGTGGACAGGCCAGGTACTCACGTGTTGAGTCTGTATGTTGTGAGTGGACAGGCGACCACCAAGTATCTCTCCAGGCTGAGGATGACGACGGTGTAGGAGATGGCCGTCTGTAGCAGGTGGGGCAGGGGGTACAGGACGCTGTGGACACAGGGGACTCGTCAAAATATGGCGGGACAGGGGGTACAGGACGCTGTGGACACAGGGGACTCGTCAAAACATGGCGGGACAGGGGGTACAGGACGCTGTGGACACAGGGGACTCGTCAAAACATGGCGGGACAGGGGGTACAGGACGCTGTGGACACAGGGGACTCGTCAAAACATGGCGGGACAGGACGCTGTGGACACAGGGGACTCGTCAAAACATGGCGGGACAGGGGGGTACAGGACGCTGTGGACACAGGGGACTCGTCAAAACATGGCGGGACAGGGGGTACAGGACGCTGTGGACACAGGTGACTCGTCAAAACATGGCGGGACAGGGGGTACAGGACGCTGTGGACACAGGACTCGTCAAAACATGGCGGGACAGGGGGTACAGGACGCTGTGGACACAGGGGACTCGTCAAAACATGGCGGGACAGGGGGTACAGGACGCTGTGGACACAGGTGACTCGTCAAAACATGGCGGGACAGGGGGTACAGGACGCTGTGGACACAGGACTCGTCAAAACATGGCGGGACAGGGGGTACAGGACGCTGTGGACACAGGGGACTCGTCAAAACATGGCGGGACAGGGGGTACAGGACGCTGTGGACACAGGGGACTCGTCAAAACATGGCGGGACAGGACACTGTGGACACAGGACTCGTCAAAACATGGTGGGACAGGGCAGGGGGTACAGGACACTGTGGACACAGGGGACTCGTCAAAACGTGGCGGGACAGGGCAGGGGGTACAGGACGCTGTGGACACAGGGGACTCGTCAAAACATGGCGGGACAGAAGGGCAGGGGGTACAGGACACTGTGGACACAGGGGACTCGTCAAAACGTGGCGGGACAGAAACATGGCGGGACTGAAACTTGTCGAACAATTAACTTGCCAAACCGCAAACTTGCCTCAATAAAATTTACCAAAACAAGTAAAGCGTCAAAACTTAAAGTTGTGAAAACAGAAACTTGAGCAGACAGAAATCAACAATGTTACATGAAGCTGTAGCTAAACTCTACTTGACCTGTACACAGGCTCCGTGTGGGCTCTATAGCTGGGGCTGATGACGGCGGCCCCAGACAGGACATTGAGGTTCTCCAGGAACAGGTAGTAGAGCAGGTAGAGGGCGTCTAGCACCGCTAGGAAGATCAGCAGCAGGGGCGCCGAGGATTTTTTCCTGAAACACACCTCAAAGTTAGCTCAATGTTAGCTCAAAGTTAGCTCATAGTTAGCTCAAAGTTAGCTCAATGTTAGCTCAAAGTTAGCTCAATGTTAGCTCAAAGTTAGCTCAATGTTAGCTCATAGTTAGCTCATAGTTAGCTCATAGTTAGCTCATAGTTAGCTCAAAGTTAGCTCATAGTTAGCTCAATGTTAGCTCATAGTTAGCTCATAGTTAGCTCAATGTTAGCCGACCTCTCCCCCCCCCTCACATACACACCTCCCCCCTCACACACACATACATACACACATACACACACATACACACACAAACACACACACACATACACACACACATACACCGCATGTAGCCACGCCCCCTTGTGCAGGATGTTTACATTTCCCTACCGGAAGTGTGCCAGAACGACGATGGCGCAGAGGTTGCTGATGATGCCCAGACAGCAGACGACACAGCCGCCCAGACCGAAGACCCAGACCCGCCACACGATCATGTCCAGACGGTCGGCCAGACGGCGGGCCCTGGTCAAGTTGTTGACCACCAGAGCAGCAGACGTCGTCAGGTCAGTCATCTTCAGGCTGGATCTGTGATGTTATATGTGACCTTGTGACCTTGTGACCTTGTGACTGTGTGACTCTGTGACCTTGTGACTCTGTGACCTTCTGACTCTGTGACTCTGTGACACTGACTATGTGATACTGTGACCTTGTGACACTGTGACCTTGTGACCTTGTGACTCTGTGAACCTGTGACTCTGTGACCCTAATGTAGTGACTTGAACATTCGAGAGTTCAAAGTTCAAGTCGATGGTTCAGTCTTCGATCTGCAACAAGCAATAACCGTTAGCCAGTAGCCACATGATCAAGTTAGCCAGTAGCCACATGAACAAGTTAGCCAGTAGCCACATGATCAAGTTAGCCAGTAGCCACATGATCAAGTTAGCAAGTAGCCACATGATCAAGTTAGCCAGTAGCCACGTGATCAACTTAGCCAGTAGCCACGTGATCAAGTTAGCCAGTAGCCACATGATCAAGTTAGCCAGTAGCCACATGATCAAGTTAGCCACTAGCCACATGATCAAGTTAGCCAGTAGCCACATGATCAAGTTAGCAAGTAGCCATATGATCAAGTTACCCAGTAGCCACATGAACAAGTTAGCCAGTAGCCACATGATCAAGTTAGCCAGTAGCCACATGATCAAGTTAGCCAGTAGCCACATGATCAAGTTAGCCAGTAGCCACATGATCAAGTTAGCCAGTAGCCACATGATCAAGTTAGCCAGTAGCCACATGATCAAGTTAGCCAGTAGCCACATGATCAAGTTAGCCAGTAGCCACATGATCAAGTTAGCCAGTAGCCACATGAACAAGTTAGCCAGTAGCCACATGATCAAGTTAGCCAGTAGCCACATGATCAAGTTAGCCAGTAGCCACATGATCAAGTTAGCCAGTAGCCACATGATCAAGTTAGCCAGTAGCCACATGATCAAGTTAGCCAGTAGCCACATGATCAAGTTAGCAAGTAGCCACATGATCAAGTTAGCCAGTAGCCACATGAACAAGTTAGCCAGTAGCCACATGATCAAGTTAGCCAGTAGCCACATGATCAAGTTAGCCAGTAGCCACATGATCTCCACACAACTGAGTGGCTGAGGTTTTTTTTACTATACACCAACCTTACACGCATCTAGTAGTAAATTGTTATAATGTTAAACCTAAAAGGTTATAATGTTAAACTTAAAAGGTTATAATGTTAAACCTAAAAGGTTATAATGTTAAACCAAAAGGCTATAATGTTAAACCTAAAAGGTTATAATGTTAAACCTAAAAGATTATAATGTTAAACCTAAAAGGTTATAATGTTAAACTAAAAGGCTATAATGTTAAACCTGAAAGGTTAAAATATTAAACCTAAAAAGCTATAATGTTAAACCTAACAGGTTATAAGTTAAACCTTAAACGTTATAATGTCAGACCTAAATGGCTGTAATGTTAAACCTAAATGACTGTATTGTTAAACTCATAAAAAAATTACTGAAATTTTCTAAAATCTGTTTTTACTTTATCGTATCTAATATATAAAGCTCAAATCTGTATGTAACATATACTAAGTTTGTTTGTCGTGGACATATTTCGATGGATTTAAGTGTTAGATTATTATCGTGCTCATAGTCTAAATTTATGAGTTAAAAAATTACTATTGAAAGTGTGGGAAATAATTTTCATTTTTCAAACTGATAATAATAATTGTCGGCATGTTCATTAAACACAATTTAAAAAAAAAAATATCATCTTTTACAAAAATTCTAATTATGTCTTTAAATTATTTATATTTAGTCCTTTAGCACTTACTTCCCTTTGATAAATTAGGAAAACACAATTACTTCCCTTTATAAAACATTGCATTAGTGGAAAAGAATTCACTTTTAATTTCTTTGTTTTGGTGTTGGGAAAAAAATAATTACATAATTAGCGGGGATTGATCAAGTGCAAATGTTGTAGGTATTTTACGGTTAAGCTTGGAGTATTATAATTGTTCATTAAATTGAAACAGGCGCGTCCGCCGGCGCCCCACCAGGTTTCAATTTGGCGCTCTGGGCTATCCTGTGAGCGCTATGGTGCATAATTTCGCTTTAAACAGTGCGATAGAGTATGGATAAGAAAGGTTACTATAGTCTTTAAGTGAATCGAATCCGGGCGTCCTATGGCGCCCATACAGGGTGCTATTTGGGGCCCCGGGCCTCCCGTGTTCGGTTTGGCGCCTACGTTCGTTTAAGTGAGTGCAAAAGACAATGAATAAGTTGGGGTAGTATAGTCGTTTATTAAGCTGAAACAGGCGATTCCGCCCCGGGCTAGACTGTGAGCACTTTGCGTTTATGTCCGCGTTAGTGTTTTCTTTGTGTTTAGGTTGGGTTTGCGTTAGTGGTTGCGTTTTGATTTGGTTCGTTTTTGTTCTTTCTTTTTTCGTTTTTGTTTGTGTTTTTTTTCCTTGGGTTTGTATTTGTGTTTGTGGTTGGTTTTGCGTTTGGATTTGGTTTGTTTTCGTTTGCTTTTTCATTTGTGTTTTTTTCTTTGGGTTTGTGTTTGTGGTTGGTTTTGCGTTTGGATTTGGTTTGTTTTCGTTTGCTTTTTCGTTTTTTTTTCTTTGTGTTCGTATTGGTGTTTGTGGTTGTGATTGGGTTTGTTGTTAGGTTTTTGTTTTCGTTTGCTTTTTTGTTTGTTTTTTCTTTGTGTTTGTATTGGGCCTGGCTGGGACGGCTAGTACAGAGTATATAGGAAGTATTGTAATCGTGCACAAAAATCACATGAAATTTTGACAGTTTTCATCGTTTTACACATCAGTACTTGATCATATACTAAGTATAGGGGACTTATTTTAATCGGCCAAAAATTATAAATGCAGATTTATCAAAATTTCGGTGTTCTATGCGTAATCGACTCGTAAAAACTGGGCTTTGCCATTCCGTCCGTATGTCTGTGTGTGTGTGTGTATGTCTGTGAACACGATAACTTGAGTACCGTTACAGCTAGGGATGATGAAATTTCATATACAATTAGTATATCATATTAGTAGTTCTGTATCAACTTTTCAGCGATTTCCGGTAACCGAAAGTACAACTTATTTTACTTTTGGTTTTTTAAAAGCATATAACTTGAATCAGTGGCGTAGCTACCGTACAGCTAGCGTAAGCAAGGCATAGGGGCCCAAGGCAAATAGGGGCCCTTTTCCCTTTTTAAATTTTTAAAAACTTTTACATTGGAATTTCAATATTTGTATTATAAAAATAATTTAAAAAGAAAACGGAAATCCAGTTTCTTTTCTACTGTAGAAATAATTTTTAAATAAAAGAAATGCCCCCAAACCTTTCTTACTAGAGTGGGGGGGGGGGGGGGGTTGTACAAGGCCCATAGGTTTTAATAATACTATAGGCATTGTTGCATTGTCGGGAAAGCTGTTGAAATAATTAGCCTATACATAAACTTGAACATTGACTCTTTTGTGAGATGGGCATCCGGCACCTGCAAATTTATACGCATAGCTAAAAACTCTTTACTCCACCGCCACAAACCTGCACCTCATTCCCCTCTCAACTCTGTCCCCAATGAAATTCCATCCATCCATGATTACAATTGAGCCAATTTTTTTATCAACAGCAGTGGACAGTGTTTTCACAACAAGCTACGTCGAAAATGTGTCTGTTTTTCTATCATTAAAGATTTTTGTTTGTCTCCTTGTCCTTTAAGCATTAATACAAAAATGATCCAATCACAAAAGAAACATTGGGAAGTCGTTTACAATAGTTCAGACAAACATCTACTTACCATGAAATTTCCTACCACAACCCCACGCATGAGGAGCAGTGCCTTCCCCTCGAAAAGAAGCCAGAAAGAAACTCTGGCTCCTGCAAAGTTTTCTGCCATTAATTTTTTTTTGTTTCGTTCGGTTTGCCACCCAGAGTTTCCCAGCACCATTCTTAGCACCTGGGGTCAGTTAATTGGGTGTCCTGCACAAGGGGTCAGGGTTACTGCTTAATTCAACGGTCTAACTGCACAGGTGCATCAGCCAACGCCCCGGGCTCCCTCCCCCCCCCCCCGTGAGCACTACGGCGCATACACTTGTTTTAGTGAGCGCCATGCCCTAGGTATACCGAGGGCTACTATAATAAAGAGCTAAAGAAAATAAAGGGTGTCCTCCAGCCGCCTCGGTACTAGTAGTCTATATGGTTGGGCACCCCCAAGTCTCTCCATTATGATGATGTTATGAAACAAGTTGTAGATATGCCCTTTGGGTCAGAAACTTGGCCATCCTAAGTATCGAACATACAGAAGCAGCTAAAATGGACTTCGAGAAATATATTAATCACTTTGCAAACTTATATATTTTGTTATTTTAACTGAATAAAACATAGTTTTGACGAGTTTTCGTCATGGTGTCACGCCTAAATTGTGAGGCCCCCGCCTCGTGTAGCTACTGTGTTATTTTACTTAAATGTTACAGGCTTACAGTTAATTTGTTAGTTTAATTTTTAATAAAAGTGATATAAAATCAAAGGTATTTTACGCTACGGGGTACTACATAATAATACCGTATAAATACACAACTATGGACGTATAAAATACACATTAACGTAGGGGCCCAATAATAATTTTTGCATAGGGGCCCGAAAATCCTAGCTACGCCACTGACTTGAATACTGTTACAGATAGATAAACGAAATTTCACATCTAAGTAAAAGATCTAATTCTCTGACATCTTTAAAATTTTGAGTAATTTCCGTTGACTGGAAGTAGAAATTAACGCTATTTCCGATTTCTCAAAAAAAAAACCGAATGATACGGATCTACAACGTTGATGTAGTACTTTTATATGAAATTTCATCAACCTAGCTGTAACGGTACTCAAGTTATCGTGTTTACACACACACAGACACACACACACACACAGACATACGGACAAGATTGCAAAATTATGTTTTTCCGTATCAGTGAGGTGTAAAACGTCGAGATTTGTAAAAATCTCGATTTTTTTTAAATTTTTGCACGATTACAAGACTTTCTCTATACTTCGTATATACGAGAAAGTAAAAAAAAAAACATTTCTATAGCCTT